TAAACTTGAAACCAAAAAACCTGAGTCTGAACCCTGAACCCCTAGGGTTTAGGGCTTAGGGCTTTAGGGTTTAGGGTTGCATCCCTATTCAACTCAGGATTGCATTACCCCGATTATGGAGATGTGAGGATGCGCCACTCTCGTGGCAGCGCGGTCGAGTGATTGCGGCCACGCCACGAGAAGCAGGCTTGGGACAGCCCCGCACCGGCTCCTTCAAACCCAAACCCTATACTGAACTGGGACCACTATAATTTTAGCTGTTTCTTAGGGGTTATAAGGACCAAAAATTAAATGCTATTTCTAAGTGCTCCTATGAACATCTAAGAACCATCTAAGAACCATCTAAGCTCCGAGCAGACACCCCAAAATGGACAAGTCCTGAAAAACACTAACCGGCAACATCCGAAACTCTAACATAGTGTGATTCCTGTCAAAAACAAAACCTGTGGGTAGGAACACGAAACGAACTCTAACGAGACAAAGCCATTGCATCTTCCAATCCTGAACCTGCAAACTTTTTCCTACGGAAAACCACTTCATTCCTAAGTGCCTTTGGCGCGGCTCAGGCCAGCCGTGGTTCTCAGCTGGTCCCGCGCTTGGATGCAGCTTCTTGCCAGGCTCGAGGACAGAACCCCTGCAGCAAGCAGGTAACAGTACAAAAAGGCCTGAGTGTTGCAAGAGTCGTGGTCGTGGTGCCGACAGAAGCCAGGGTCGTCGTCGTCGCAACATTGCAATAACAATGATAATTGCAACGACTATACGAATAACAACATTAAAAGTGGTTCTAAAACACCCATAATAGCACTGCAGTAGTAATGATTAGACGAATATGAATAATGGCAACAAAGATGGTCTCCTGCCCAGCCTGATTTGCAAAGAAGCTGCAGAAATTCGTCGCCACCAGCGACAAGCACCTGGATTTGTGCCGTATCCGCAGGTGCTCTCGGGGGCCCTATGCAGGTGCTCAACGGGGTTCCGAAAGTTTTTAGTGTTTAGGGTTTAGGGGCCCAATTGTGAAATAATCTGACCCTAACCCCAAACCCTAAACACTAAACCCTAAAAACCCTGATTCACTTGACAAGGGTAGAAGTGGGCTGATCCCATTGATGCAACTATGTATCTACTCCCTTTTGCGGCTCACTCGATCTCAGAGTTGACTGTTCTGGGTGTGCGGCGTTAGGGTTGTTATAGTATCCTTATGGGAGGGGGCTCCAAGGGGGTTAGGTAACCTACTAATCCCTAGTTCACTCCAGTGCTCCCTGAGGCTCTCTTCAGGTTCCCTAAGGATCCCTTGTACCCTCCCCCCTTGAACCACCCTCCCTTAAGGAATCTATATAGGTTGACCCTGGACGTTGAACCCTGCGTAAACTCTCAAGTCCCCTACTCTGATCCGAGCACTGACATACATCCAATGCTCTGAAGCACAGAACAGGGCTATGAGGAGTAGATTTGCCATATAACCCTAAACCCTAAACCCTAAACCCTAAACCCTTAGGAGAAGTACTCCTAACCATTCAGGCTTACGCCCGGAGTGTCAGATACGAGGGGGTTGCCACCCCGCCCCTCCAGTCCTCGGGCACCTTTTCAAACTACTGCCTAGGGTTTAGGATTTAGGGTTTAGGGTTTAGGGTTTCTGCCCAGTTGAGGGAGCTTTAGTGCCACGTACTGCATCACAACAGCGAACATCCGTAAAGATTATGACCACCACGTTCTCCGGTTTGAGGCTGCCGTCTTGAAGCGTAGCAGTTTAGGGTGGTAGGACTTAGGGTTCGCCGCTTTGGGGTTTTAGGGTTTAGGTTGGGGCTCTGCAGATTAAGATTCACGGCTTCAAGGGATCAAGGTTGCAGGGACTAGCGTTCAGCGCTTGAAAATGCGGAGTTTGAGTCTTCGCGCACCCAGCACCCGAAGCATTCGAAGTCCTAAACTCCTAAGCCCAACACCCCTGAACATCCTTGACAGTTAGGTAGTAGGGTTTAGGGTTTAGGTGTTGGGGTTTAGGGTTTAGGGTTTAGGGTTTAGGTGTTGGGGTTTAGGGGTGTAGGGTGTAAAGTTTTGGGTTTACGGGCGAGGCTGCCGCAAATCAGAACTTCTGTGCATAGGGCCCCCCAAAACGCACATAAGCAAAATTTAGGATAGGGATATCCCATATAAACCCGCTTAGTTATAATGAAGCCAAATAAGGTAGGGATATCCCTATAAAATGCTTAAATGCTAATGTGCTTTCTGGGTTCCTAAGTGCAGAGAACTTGGAGGATCAAGGCACTTAGTAAGTAGGGTTATAAGTAAGGTAACTATGGTTATATCTGCTTCTAACCTTAATTGAGGTACTTATAACCCTACTTACTAAGCCCCCTGATCCTCCAAGTAGACCCTAAACCATAAACCCTTATAGTACCCCTATAGATCCCTTAAAGGAACCCCTTATAGTACCCCATAGATCCCTTAACGGGCCCTTACTGATAACCCTACTTACTAAGGCCCCTGATCCTTTAAGGAGGGCACCACCATGGCCGCAAAGGTGGAGAGGCACGCAAAGGCCACCAGCGCCAGCACCGGCGACGTAGAGACCAAGGAGTTCTCGTGCTCCTGAGGGCAGTGGGGGTTTAGGATTCGGGTTTAGGGTTTGGGGGGTTTACGATTTCAGGTTTAGAGTTTAGGGTTTAGGGTTTAGGGCTCCTGAGGTGATGGGAGGCCAAAAAGGGGGGGTTTAAGATTCTTGGGTTCGGGATTCCTTCATATGAACCCTACTATGGGAACCCTAATCCCTACTAAACCCCCCATAGGCTAAACCCCCTTTTGGACTCCTTTCATGAGGGCCGTGGGGAGTGGGATTCGGCCTATCGGATCTTATGATGCACCCTAAACCCTAAACCCTAAACCCTGTTACTGGGCGGGCGTCAAGACCTTAAACCACGGCTCCTATCCTTAAGCTTTTGGGAGTCTTTCCTTTCTGCCCGCCCTCCAGGCGGTGCTGCGGTTAGGGCTCTCAGGGATCATGGGAATGCCTAGCCCCGAATAAAGAACGAAACAAAACCCTTAATCCTGGCAGAGATGAATGAAACCCTAACCCCAAACCGCAAACTGCGAAACCCGAAACCCTCAAGCCTCAACCCTGAAGTGCCCTAAAAACCTAAACAGGAGATCACAGCCTTGGATGCTGCATTGCTAGCTCGGGAATGTGGCGTGTCGGTTTTCAGGTAGTTAATCCAAACGGATCTTTCCCATGTTGCGCTGTAGGTTGTAGTGCTTAGATTTAGGTTTAGACAGAGCACTTACACGCTTACCCCTAAAACCCCTGCTACCCGGACTCTGAGCCCTGAACCCTTGGGTTCGGAAACCCCTAAGTGGGAGTTTCCGAAAATGGGGAACCCTATTATAATATAGCACCCTAAATACTAGGATCCGTATTATAAGGACCCCAAAATAAGGTACCCCTCATTTTTCGGAAACTCCCTAAACCCTAAACCCTACAGATCCCTTATAGGAGCCCTTAAAGGATCCCTTTAAAGGAACCCCAAGGTACCCCTAATTTTCGGAAACTCCCAGTTTGGTAGGACCGCCTTCTGGTGGTGAGCCCTGATGCTGCAGTCCAGCACCTTCCGGTGTAGAGCTCCGGGGGTCGATAGGGGTTTGGGGTTAGGGGGTTTAGGGGTTTAGGGATTTAGGTTGTTTATGGGGTTAGGGGGGTAGGGGTTTAGGTGTTTCGGGTTTAGGGTTCAGAGTTGAGGGTTTAGGGATTAGGATTTAGGGTTTTTTTTAGGGGTTTAGGGCGATGGGTTTACTTGCAGGACGATGCGACCTAGCAAGTGGGGATGGAAGTACCTTGGGGCTATATGTAGATATGACTGTGGGGCTATGGTTGCTATAGTTACCTTCCCTGTGGCCCTATTGAGTCCGTTGAACCTCTACAGAGGGATTGTGGGACGAGAGTCCTTCTGTTCGCGGATTGTCGGCTCAGGATTAAAGTCTAGAGTCTACCTTTATCGAGTGTTCCAGCTACCTACAGCTTTAGGCGGCTATGGTAATGCCCTGCAACCCACAAGTCATGACCGACTATGCTGATGTACGACCTGGTCCTTCAACGGTAGGGCTAGCAAAAGCCCAGAACTCTCAAACCCTGAGCCGTAAACCCAACCGTACCCAAAAAAGATTGCTTCGTATGCAGGTCCGTAGTTGGGGAGTCTGACCCTTCTAGAAACGAGGGCCTTCATAATCCGAATTGGGATTCGGGGTGTACATTGACACTACGGTATCATTGTAATAGGCAACCCTACAGAATAGTGTTGTCAATTGTTGAGGCGTCTCTGCCATTATTAAACCCCAAGCTGTCGTAACGCTCAGAGCTTAGGACTTGGGGCTCGGTTTAGGGTTTAGGGCTTAGGGTTTAGGGGTTTAGGGGTTAGGGTTTAGGGTTTAGGGTTCAGGGAAGTTTCGGGTTCCCCCAAACCCTATACCCCTGGATTGGCCCAGGTTCTTTTTGCAAACCCGGGTCGGGGACCCGAGAAGCCTATTGAGCCTTACATGGCTTAGCTGACATGGAATCCGAAAAAATACGTCAAGCTTTAGGCAAGGGGCATGCTGATTTGTGGTTCCGGGTTTCGGGTTTTTGGACCCATACCGTATACCCCGCAAACAAGGACGACGGTCTTTCAGCAAGCAGAAACGAGGAGCCCTGAGCGGGTTGAGAGTTCAGGGATCACACCAAATGCTGGAGTACTATGTGCTTCCCAAATGTCAAACCCTCAAATCGACTACCGAACATCACCAAGATTCCGTGCTGAGACATGTGGGATATTTGGTTTGAGTTTCGGTTCTGGGGTATTGGAACTAACGAAACCTTAGGCTGAGGCTTGTCGGCAATCTTTACACCCTAAACTCGACAATCTCCACTCACTTAACTGTACTGAACTTAGAACCCTAGCAAAAATTATGATTTCAGCTGTTTCTTAGGGATTATAATAACCAAAAATTAAACATTATTTCTAAGTACCCCTAAGTTAATGAGTCACCTAGGCTTTCAGACCCTCTGCAGCGTGCCGAGGCACTTGGCACCACTGTCGCGAGAACTGAGTGTACTTCTGCCGGGTGTCCTGGCCCATGCGGCCCCATCCGTAAACACTTTTGCTGTGGGTTCACGAACCCTAGGCCCAAAGCCCCCAACCCTAAACCCTGCTCTTAAAGGCGTCTTGGCTTACAGCGGGTAGTTTTCTCCCAGGGGATCCCCGCTACGGCCATTGACCCTGCGTGGTTCTCGGCGAACCCGCGCGATAGCACCGCGAGCCTCCGACGGCCGGTGCTCTTTTTGACAGGTGGCCCGCTGTACGCTTGGCGAGGCGGCCATCCTCTTCTGGCCTTCTCTTTGAGAAGCTGCCTCTACAGGACTTTTGGTCCTATTCTGATCTTGCTGCCCGACCTCGTCGCTGGCAGCTGATCCCGACCCTGTACGCTTAGCGAGGGGTGTATGAACCGAGGCTGGGCTTTTTTCCTTCTGACCTGGTCGGTTATTTCCTACGGCGGCTTTCCGACAGAGGATTGGCGAGCCATCGGAAGCTGCGAAGACTCCGTACGAAGGCGAGGACGCTTCTGCGGACAGTGGTGGTTGGCGCGACCTCGGCTTTTCATCCGAGAGTCCCTACAGCCATAGCCGCCCTACGTGGACACCACTCCCTCTCTCACCTGCCAGCACAGGTGGAGGCTATTCGACAACAAGCGATGTCCTGGCAGTGCCAAAGTTGCTGGCAGTGGGCGAAGGCATCGGCCAGCTATTGCCCGCAGTGCGGAACTGGCAAGCAGAGCTATGTGGCCAAAGGCAAGGGATATGGAGATCCCTGGACTCACGGCCAGGACAATGGTGCACCAGAGCGGACTTGGTGGGAAGGCAAGCGGCCCAAGTCTCCGCGAACCAGACCGCCGTCGCCCCGACAGAGGGGCAAAGGGGGCGGCCAAGGCAAGCAACAAGGCAAAGGCAAAGGGCCGAAAGGGCCGAAAGGCTCAAAAGACAAAGGAGCCCCGCCAGAAGCAACGACGGCACCGGGTGTTGCTTCTTTGCCGGCAGCCCCGGAGGCGAGTGCACTCGCTATGCCCAAGGCGGGGACCAGCAATGCTCCTGGCAGCGGGTCTGCGGATGGCCAGCTGCTCCGGGCCGTTCTGGCTCATCTGGCAACAAGGGACGACGTGCCGGCGGAGCTGTCTGCACTCATGGGACAGCATGCCGACGAGAGCCATCGTGCCCAGGGACGGGCCTTGCACAAGGTGGTGGCCCGCCAACAGGAGGCCAAAAGGGCCCTTTTCCGCGTCCGACAAGAACGACAGGGCTACGAACAGGCGTGGAGTCAATACTTAGGACAACTGACGCAGCTGCTGGAGAAACAACTGGCAGAACGGAGCGAGGCCCTTTCCAAGTACGACGCCTCGGAGGCAGCCTGGAAGGAGCAACTGGAAGAGGCCTCCACGGAGCTCAGTCGTCATGCTGCGCAGCCACTAGGCAAAGAGGGCATGGTGGAAGTGCAGGAGATCTCCGAGGACGAGATGGACACCAGGGACCGGCAGGTCGACGAAGCCATCGCCGAGGAGATGCAAGCCCAGAATCGCCTGCAAAGCGAACAGACGACCCAGCAGGCACAGAAGATGATGGAGGCCTTGCGGCAGATGCAGCAAGGCTTGCCGGAAAAGTCCGGCGGACAAGCGCGGGAAGGTTCCCGCACACCGCGAAGATCCGGCTCCAAGGAGCGAGATGCTGCCGATGGCGATGGCAGTGGCAAACAGCCAGGAGCGCATCCTGCCAAGGAGCAGCCCCCTGGCGCGGCCCACACATGAGCCCCTTTGGTCAGTGTGGGCCGAAAGAGTACCCGGACGACAGTCTGGAAGAACAGGCCGTTTCCTTACACTCGGTCTGTTATGAGCAGGACTTTGTCAATGTTTGGATGGCCACGTGGCTTGGGCTCCAGCTGCATGCAGAGCTGGCGTTTGAGGCTATACGGGACACACCCTGACTTGGCTTGAAGATCCACGAATGAGCACGGCTCGTGAAGCCGCTGCGCAATTTTGTACAGGACAGGTACAGTCAGATTTTTTCCCACCGGTAGGCTCTGTCTCCAGCGAGGGTGCGCGGGCGACCAGCCTCGGTGAAGGATATGAGCCTGAGATAGTCTTTCCAGATGCCGCCGTGCGCATGGGTGTTTTGCCGGCTGGATGTTCTGATGTGACGGTCTCGGCGGAATGTTCAGATCTTGAGGCTGGCGCTGCGAAATCCCTGGCGGGGACTTTAGAGCGTTCTGCAGGTAGGGCGCGAGCAAGCATCGACCCTAGCGCGGAGGTTCCTTCCTCCGGCCATCCCTTGCATTCCCAGTCGCAGCTTGTGCCACCTCGGGTGTGCACAGCCAGGTGTCCAGGTGTTAGCAGGATCCACCGTATCAGGCATTTCTTGCCTCTGCAGGTCTGTTTTCCAGGTGACCTGAAGACTCACACCTCCCGATCCATGAACCAATGGGCCCGCTCCGCAAACCATGCCCTCGGATCCTGTCCCAACATCGCGGCTGATGCTCGTTTCAAGGCCGGTTCCCTGTCGAACCTTGGCGAGACATCGGAGACTCCATTGTCCCTGTCGCAGCCTGTGCGGTCACCTTGGACCAGCACGGTGATGGACCAAAGCTACCGAGCCCGGCAGCAGCAGCATCAAGCTGATGTCTGCCTCACCACTTCGGAGGTTCCTCCCTCCGTTCTTTATGGCTGCAGGAAGGGCGGTTCCGTGTCGGACCCTACTGCATGCCCCTCCTCTCAGGAACCTGCAGGTGTGCCCCTGTCTGGGAGCACCCAATGCGAACGGGCAAGTGTGAGGCACTCACACTTCGGTCCTTCCCCGATCTCCACGGAGGGTACTTTTTCCTCATCTGAGGCCCAAGGAGTGTGCCACCCGTTGTGAGCACCTCCCATGCAGCACACTCGCTCTCCCAGCACTCCCTTGTCCTGAATGGGGCTGGTGCCAGCTCACTGCCACCTTCCGTCAGGATGGACAGCCGATTGTGTGGTTTCTGCACCCGAGGCCGCGCCAGGCGCCCAGGCGCCCAGGCATTTCACTGCGCTGAGCCTCCAGTTGGCCGCCAGGGTTTCCGTATCCCCCCCGGAACACGACCGTTGGGAGGTGCGAACACAACCGCTGGCCAGCTTCCAATGGAGTGGGCTAGCTAGGCCTCAGGAACGCACAGATGCTTTGCCCCTACCCGGCCAATATGTGCTTTTCGATACTGAGTACCATATGCGGGTCCGGCCTCTCGGTCCGCTTTGGACCATTGACCATGTCGTGGCAGACATCCTGAGCCTCATGCCCAGGACAAGAGCCGTCAGGTTCCTGCACCGCACGCTCGAGGGTCTGCCCACACTTCAGGTTTCCGCTACCCTTCGGGATGCCAGGCCTGGTGAAGAGGCCACCCCTCTTGACCTGCGGGATATGACAGGTGCGATTTGCACATGCTACCTGAGTCCAGGGCTCCCTCAGGATGGCATTCTTGCAGCATACCAGCAGCACTGCCCTTCGGGGCACCTGCCCACATCACCTTTTGGCGTGGTCGGCCCCAGTGGAGAAGCAATCTCTGCAGTGCCTCTTGTGCCGCCAGGAGTTGACTTTGTTAAAGCGCGGCCCCGGGCTGAGGTTGAAGCGGCCATGCGCCTGATGCATCTTAGGGGGGTCGCCCGACCACCTACTTCTGCTGTCAGCGCTACTGCACAGGGTGACCAGCTCGCCGACGACACCACATACACCACTCCCACGACTACTGGGACTAGGGTTTCACCAGGTGAGCCACAGGAAGCCACACCTGCGCAAAGGCTTCTGCGCCTTGCGGCCGCCGAATCGGCCGATCCCTTCCATCAGGCAGGTGCTGGCCTTTACCCTTCATGTGTTGCCTTCAGCCCCGATTTCCTCCGGCGGCCTGAGGTGGTTCACAGACCACTCGCCGATTTGTGCCTTTTCGACAGTCTCCAGGTGAGCACTGGGGGACTTGACTTCACGGTGCATGCGGCCGGAGCTGAGGCTATTGCCATGCAGGCCTACCCGGATTGGTCGCTCGCTACTTTCTTCCATGCAGCGACAAATGCAGTGCCACAGCTCCCACAAGCCGTCCAACTGCTTCTTTCAGGCGTTCCTGGCCTACCGGAGCCCCAATTCGTCTTAACAGCAGCAGGGGCGAACGGCATTGCTTTCCCGGTTGACTTTCGCTTTATTGGAGGCCCGGTGGTGACGGTCTCCGCTGCACAAGGGGACACCATCGAGCAACTTCTGCAGCATGCTCCTGGCCTGGAGACATCAGAAGCTGTGCAAGACCTCCTGCTGCACAGGGATCTCTTCCTTCAAGATGCCAGGGGCGGTATTCACACAGCCGTGCCGGAAAATGCTGCCGAGCTGCAATGGCTCCGTGTGGTCAATCGTGCCGGCATCGTCGGCTGCACCGCAATGATGCCCTTCGGGACACCGCCCCTCACTTCCACTTCAACCACCACCACCGGCATGCAGGGAGAGGCTACTACAGTCCGCCTCACCCTCACTGGGGCTGGCATGACGATGACCACCGCACCAGTCCCGTTGGCACAATTTGATGTGGTTGAAGAACTGACGACCCTGATTCTGGCAATCACGCGGGCTGGCCGTCTCCCCAGCGATGCCCATGTAGTCATGGCTGCCACATGGCCTCTCCCAAGAGGCGGCCGCCACTTCAATATTCCAATTGTCATCTACTCTCCCGAAGAGTATCAGCATATCGTGTTGGACCCATCGGTCGATGGATCCCAGATCCATAGCATGGTAGTGCAAGCTGGTACCCTCCCTGAGTACACCTTGTCCCGCAACCAGGAGAATTTGGGACTGGCGGCCTGGGTCAATGGCGCACCGCAGTCTGCCGTCCGCCGACCACTACGCACCGGGGACTTTGTGCAACTGCATCGGGGTGATCTTCGGGTTCAATACCCTGTAGGGCACCCAATGCAGCTCCTGGGGCATGTGAACCGCTTGCATTGCCTATGTGCCCCGTTCAGGGTCCCGGCTTTCAACACTTTGGCTGCACGGGCATCGCATGCTGGGGCTAATGCTGAAGTCAGGCAGGCTCTCCTCACGGCGATGGATCGGGCCACTCGCGTTCGAGTTGAGCCGTGTTGTTGGAGCCTGGCAGAGCCCCTCACATCGTCTGGCTAGACCTCATGTCGTGCCCCTCTGTCGATGAGGCTGAGCCCCTCCTGCGAGAGCTAGGGCTCTTCTCGGATGCTACGCGTATCTTGGATTCCCGCATAGAGGACTTGGTCGCCCAAGTCTTTATCCTGGCTCCGCCGGAAGTTAGAGGCATGACGTATTCAGTGCCCAACCCTATCCTGTTTGGGGCACATACGCTCATTCACCTCCCTGCCGACACCAGCCCGCCCTGGCACCTTCTACCTGTGCAAGATGGACTCACTCTCATCCCTCCACAGACATCCTCCGCGGCCTCCAAGCCTATGAGCATTACGACAGTGCAGTCCTCCGGCGGGACGTCTCTTGCGCAGCTGCCCGACTACAGACAGGCACACCAACGGCGTTGCAGACAGGCCGAACTCAAAGGTCTCGTACGGCCAGGTTGCCCCTGCATCAATGGACAGGTGCAATGTGCCCCTGAGGAGACTGCCGCCTCCTCAGATCCAGGGCACACAACAGGGTCCCTGGGTCGTGTTAAAAGGCAAGTCGCAAACCTTGAAGCTAACATTGCTGCTGCGCAGTTTTCCATTGCCACTCCTCACGGCCGAAGAGTGATCCCAGCTGCCCCAGAGCGTACGGCTGATAACACACTTCATCCCTATGCTGACCCGGGCTGCAACCCCCTGTCTTGTCAGGGCCCCGTCGGTCGTCCCTCGGAGCCCACCTTTCCTTGTACAGCTACCAATGAAGCACCCTCAGGGCCGGAACATAAGCAGCCGAGTTCCCCGGCACAGAGTCTGCTCTCCTCGGCGCCCAAGGATCTCGCGCCACCAGCACCGCAGAGGCCTGTTGTGCCGCCTCTTGAGGCCTGGGAAGCTGCGTGGCACTCTACGCCAGACAGAGCTGTTAAAGGACCTGCTGCAAGACTCCTGAGCCAGCGGCATCCACCAGGCCAAGGCTGCCCGGAGGCCATCCACATCTACGTAGACGGGTCGGCCGGCCCGGGCATGACGCCTGGCTGGTCAGTTGTTGTCTGCGAGGCATACAACCAAGATGGCACCTGCTGGGAAAATGTACTGGGTTTTTTCTCGGGGACCACAGCTGCCTTTGCCACCAAAGCCTTAGCGGGCACAGAGCATAACATGGATGGGGAAACAGTCGCTCTTGCTGTTGCTTCTGTTTGGGCGGCAGCCTGGCCCCAGCATGCCCGGCTCATCATTTTCTGCGATTGTCAAGCGCTCACTGATATTGCCCTCGGCATTGCTGAACCTCACATGCAGACTTCTACCGGCCGTCTTCAGCAAGCTTGTCGCTGTGTTTGGCAGGCCCTGCAAAGACGACCTGTTCCGGTGGACTTACAGTGGCTGGCCAGTCACCAAGGTTGCCCTGGCAACGAGCTTGCGGACCAAGTTGCCAAACAGGCTCGCACCTTGCAGGCTCGCCAACTGCCTTTGGCCCTTTTCGCTTTGTTGAAGCACCCGCAGCTGCCATGGCTATGGCACCAGCTTTTCCCTTTGCCTGCCCTACCTGCTCTTGACACCTTGTCTGCACCCCAGTACGAGGACCCAGATCCGGTGCCCAGCTCCTGTTTTCCGCGAGCACAGGTCCATGAGTCCAAGAAGCAAGGCCCTGCGCATGCCCTGCTCCTTTGTACCTACAACGTCCAATCCTTTGCAAAGCGCAAAGACCTCTGCCGAACCCAATTTCAGCATCGAGGTGTTCACGTTGCTTTCCTCCAGGAGACCAGGTACCGCACAAGTGGGATCTGCGCTGCCAGCGATTACCTTGAACTTAGGAGTGCGGCAGACTCAGGTAATGGCGGATGTGCCATCTGGATCGCAAAGCAGCTCCCCACGGGCACCCTGCAGGCAAAGCAAGCAAAGCTTCTCCACCAAGATCCAGTTGGTCAGACTCAAGGCAGCCAGGCTCGACTGCTTTCTGTTCTCTGGGCACGCCCCACATTCTGGGGCCCCCGCCTCCGTCGCTGATACCTGGTGGCACGACACACAGGTCCTGCTTAGCAAGCATGTCCAGCCTGATGTCCCCCTCCTAGTGGGCATTGATGCCAATGCGCAGCTCGGCGAAATTCCCTGTGCCGCCATCGGGCAGCATGCCCCGGACCCAGAGACACCCAACGGGGAGCGTCTCCGCTCCTTCTGTGACAGCAATTGTCTAGCACTGCCGGCAACCTTTGCCTCTTCCGGTGGCGCCATCCTTCGGCGCGACCCAGCTGCGTATACATGGGTAGCTCCTAATGGGGGCCGGCACCGCATCGACTACATTGCGATCCCGCAGCCCTGTCTAGAGGCGGTTGAATGGCACAGTGTTTGGCACGACTTCGAGACAGGAGGACCAGAGGACCACTACCCGGTCCTTCTGCGTATGCGCCTTAAGGCTGACACCACCCCTGATGTAGAATGTGGGTTCCCTCGCATTGGACTGCGCAGGGTCTCCGATGTGTCTGCGGCAGGGTTAGACCTTGGCCCAAGCCTCCTCCAGGCCTCACACATCCCGTGGGACACCAACATCCACCACCACGTGGCACAGCTCGATAGCATCATGTGGAAGGCCGCAGACACCCCGTCTCCTCCCAAGCGTCCTCGCAAGTCTTATCTTGACGATGAAGCTTGGGCGGTTGTGCTAGCGCGCAAGCAAGCCAAGCGTGACATCGTCCGGGCGGCTCAAGACCTTCGAAGAACAGAGCTTAGTTTGCTTTTCAGGGCATGGAAAAGAAGCTACCAAACCGCTGCGCCTCTGCCTCTGCACTGCCATAAGCTTGAGCGGGCTCACTGGAGGTACTACACTGCCCTGGCAGCTTACCGCCGCCTGCTTCCCATCCTTCGAGCAGCTATCGAGCAAAGCAAAGCCGCCTACCTCGGCCGACTTGCGCAGGACTTTGACAATGCGGCCCAAGAGAACAGGGCCAGGGACCTTTTCTTCGCCCTAAGGCACTTCCGCCCAGCGGGCAAGAAAGTTTTCAAGCCTTTCGGCCCAGCTGTCACCCTGCACTGCAAAGACGGCAGCGCTGTGCAGACTCACTCGCAGCAACAAGAAATTCACCGTGCACATTTTGCTGAGCAAGAGGCTGGAGATGCCCTTGACGTGGAAGCCTATTGCAAGGCCCCACTGGCCCCTGCGCCGATCGACCACTGCAGTCTCGCGGACCTCCCAACACTCTCAGCGGTTGAGCGGATGATTCGCCAGTCTAAAGACGGGAGGGCCCCAGGCCCAAGTGGTGTCCCAGGTTGTATGTGGAAGGCAGCACCCACTGCAGCTGCCACGGCACTGCTGCCAATCTACATCAAGGCGCACTTACGCCTCACAGAACCCGTCCAATATCGGGGCTGCAGGCTAGTTGCCATGCTCAAAAAGCTCAGCACGAATGCTCGCGCCGAGCATTTTAGGAGCATCGCTTTACTAGATCCTGCTGCTAAGTTCTACCATCGGCTGCATCGACAGACCCTGGTCTCCGAGGTACAAGCAAGAGAGCTGCCACTCCTCCAAGGATGCGTCCCTGGTGGCGGACCCGTTGCTCTTACCCACGTGCTCAGTACTGCTCTCAACATTGCCAAGCTCAAAAAGACCTCCGCCGCCATTCTCTTTCTTGATCTTCGCGCCGCGTATTATAGACTGGTCAGGGAGGCTGTGACCGGGGCAGACATCACAGATGCAGAGCTTTGCCAGCTCATGCATAGGCTAGGTGTGCGACCTGAGCATGTGCACGACGTTGCTGCATATGCCAAAGCTGGAGGTTTGATCCAGCATGCTAGCACGCACTTCAAGCGGGTCCTTGCATGCACCTTCCATGCCACATACTTTGTGATGGATGATGTCCCTACAGCTACGGCTACCAGAGTGGGCTCCCGCCCCGGAGACTCAATCTCTGACATACTCTATGGCCTGGCGGTAGCTGACCTCAGCATTGATGTCAGACAGCAGCTTGCTGATCAGGGTGTACCCGACGCATACATGCCGACCTGGGCAGATGATATTTCAATGCCTGTTCTCGCTCCAGCGGCCCAACTCCTTGATGTGGCCAATGTTGCAGCGACCACTCTCCATAATGCATGTCTTCGACGTGCCATGTCACCTAATTATGACACCGGCAAGACCGAGCTTTTGCTGGCCTGGCATGGAGAGGGTGCGCGGAAAGGCAGCACAGAATGCTATCGCACCGGCAAAGGGCATATCCAACTCCACACTGCCCCTCCGGAACGGTTGGTCTGCGTCACGCAATACAAGCACCTGGGCACCACCCTCCGCACCACAGGGGGAGTGCGCAACGATCTCCGGACTAAGTTTGCCCATGCTCAGGCTGTTGTATCCCCGCTCATGCGATCTGTTTTCCGCCGAGCGAGTGTTCCCCTTGCGCAGCGAGCTACCCTTCTTGATACCCTGGCCATGACCCGTGCTACCTTCGGTGTTGCCATCTGGCACCACCTCACTGCCCAAGAGCAAGCCGTCTGGTCACATGGAACTGCCAAGCTCTACCGGGCGCTCCATCGCCCCCGCATTGTGGAAGGAGAGCCGCACTTTCCAACAGACTCTCTGCTGTGCTACCAGTCCGGGCGCCCAGATCCGCTCCACCAAAGGCGCCTTCTCATTCTAGAGCATGCCCGTTTCCTTGGCGGCCAGCAGTTAGAGCGCCTCACTGAACTGCTGCAAGAAGAGGAGGCTCTTACGCCCCATTCTTGGATTGCCGAAGCTCAAGAGGCCTTTGACTGGCTTAAGACGTTTGTGGGGCAACGCATGGCCACTCAAGGAGTTCACGGCCTTACCGACTTTATGGACCACAGCCTCCACCGGCCCAACCAAGCCAAAGGATGGCTCCGTAAAGCTCGAGTCTTGGCCAGCCGACAGGCCCCGATTCGCCATGACACAACGCCGCCCACCAGGACAGCCAGCAAGCGAGATGGTGACCTCCATGCGGTCGGATGCGAGCTGTGCGAAGAGCAGTTTGCCGACCTCCACACCGCAAGGGCCCACATGTGGGCTAAGCACGGCAGTGGTACCATGCTCGCGCAACTAGCGCCTTCCACGCGCTGTCCTTGCTGCCTCACGGAGTTCTGGAGGCATTCAAGGCTCCTCCGGCATTTAGCCCACGATAAACCCGATTGTGGGTTCCACCTGCTGGCCATGCCGCCGAGGTTTTCCAACCACGGCGAGTCCGCGCCCGCGGAGCGGCGCGAGACCCTTCCTACCGACACTCTTCCGGCAGTCCGTGTCTCCGGTCCTCTTCCACAGCCGCAGCACGCGGGAGTGTCAGCTGAGCAGCTATGTAAAATGCAATTCATACTTGAAGATGGCGGGCCGGAGGCCGCAGACTTTTTACATACTGCTAAGCGACTCGTCTCGGAGTTTGCGTGTGCGAACACCGCAACACGAGACGCGCTCTTTGCGGGGCTCGACCGCACTGAGCAAGACTCTTTTTGTCGAGTTCTCTCCAATGCGGGAGTTCTCTGCTGACAACCGCGAAGAGCGGTTCCGACGTCGTCACGACTTGTCCGCAGTCCAAGCAAGCAAGCCCTGCTCTTAAAACTCAAAGATCTTTGAGTCCAAGCACTGCCCAACAGCACAGAGCCTAAAAGCACAAAAACTCCAAAGCGAAGAAGCTTCGGGATTAGGGGCCGGATCGGCGATCTAAGGCGGGCTTGGGATCGGATTAGCTCCGGCGAAGTAGGGTTTAGGGTAACGGTTTAGAGTTGTCTCCAGCATGGCTCAGAGAAATCCCTTCTTATCAGCCATGACGAACCCTAAACCCTAATTGAACACCTAGACCCTGAACCTCAAACACCTAAACAAAGTACCTTGAACTTAACCCCCGAGGCCCGAAACTAAACCCTTAAATACCCCTTCAAGTCTTAAAGGAACGTGTAAATGAACTTGAAATCACTTGAAAATCTTGCTTACACGCGAGGTTAGGCTTCAAGACCGGGCGCTCCGGAACCACCAGAAGAAGCAGAGAGGTACGGTTCAGGTTTTAGGGTTGAGAGTCCAGGGTTCAGGGTTTGGGGGCAGAACAAAGCTCGCCCCAAGAAACTTACATCAATGCGAGGGCTAGCCTGATGTAAATGAAAGGATCCTTCAGGGAGGGTGGTTCAAGGGGGGAGGGTATAAGGAATCCTTAGGGGACTGTAAGGGAACCTTAGGGAGTACTAGGGAGAATTAGGGATCACTAGGCTGTATACCCCCCTTGGACCCCCCTCCCTTAAGGATACTACAGATGTACTGGAAAAAGGTTGAAACCTATGATACATGCTCCAATTTTAAAAAGGAACACCGCGACATTGCTACTTTTTTGAAGAGTCGCTGTAAATTCTGCGGTGGGGTTTATGGTAGGACGCTAGCAAAAAACAGTTTAAGGTAAAACCTCAAACCGTAGACCCGTTTGCGCCTTGTCTGCGGCGCCGGGCGGGAAGCACTTGGACACCGCCTGCTTCGGCGCTTCACTTTGGGGGCATAGGGTTTCGGCAGCGAAAGATTCGGCAGAAGCCTCAACCCTAAACCCTAAACCCCTAAACCCTAATCCCCTAAACCCTCAACCCTAAACCCTAAATCCGAAAAACTGAAATCAGAACCTAGAGTCCTAGACCCCGGCCTGAAACCGAAATCATTCCTACCGTCTTCGAGGATGTGAAGTTTGACTTCGATACGAGGGTTCCCGAAAATGAGGGGTTTACCTTATTCTAGGGTCCTTTTAATATGGATCCTGCTGTTTAGGGTACCATATTCGGGTCCCCTATTTTCGGAAATTCCCATATGTTCTGACAACCACTGGGAGCCAGGAAGCCAATCTGAATCTGATATGGTGGCGTTAAACAGTTAGATTAGGCTTTGAAGCTTCCACCCCCCCCCCCCCCCCAAAAAAAAAAAAAAAAAGCCACTCAATCAGATTTGCTTCGTGGCGAGCAGTTAACAGGGTTGTCGGTCTAGATTTTGGGGGGAGGTTTAGGTTTGAGGGTGGGGTTTGGAGAGAGGGTGGCCGATTGAACTATAACTATTGTGCGGCTAAGGCTCCAGGGAATGACGGGTAATTCATCAGGCTTCTAGACTGCGGTGCCTCGGCTCTCAGCAAGTACGCCGTGGGAAGAATGGTGACAACCTCAAAGAGAATAAACAAACCATGACGAATACCACTATGAATAGCAGCCGTCGCAACAGCAGTGGTAAGTAGGATAGCAAAAATATTGACAAGAGAGGTGTTAGTAGCAGCAGCATCCTTACTACTCAGGACAAGATAAACAAAGGAAACAACACACACCTAAACCCTAAACCCGAAAATCCCAAACCCTAAAACCAAACAAGCACGGCGTGCCTGGTCGCAGCGCTTCCTATGGCGGGCCATAGCGGCCGCATCGCAGGCCTCTTTCTCGGAGATTCTTATTGGATGTAGGCCGGATATGGTCTTCATTGGTCTTAATGTCGGGGCCTTGATAATTCGAATAGGGCGCTGTGGTACCTTATACTTCCTCCACTTACAATAAGGAACACCCAAAACCCATTCTAAATGTGAAGGCCCCTACATTAGTTTACAAAAGCAGCTTTCTCTAGGGCCCTCATGCTGATGCAAGCCTGCTGTGCAGCGCATAATGGCTGGACAAAATTATAAACCCAAACAGCGGAAGCACAAAAAACACATAACCCTCATACCCCAACACCGGGAATCCAACCGCCCTTCTCGCCAACAAAAACGAACCCTAACCTCTCAACGCGAAACCCCAAAAAGCGCGGAACCCAGGAACAGGATAATGAAAAGCAAACCAACGACCTCAAGCCACAGAAACCTAACCTAGACCTCCAAGAGATCCCTCATGTACTGAGAAAGTAGAGGGTTTAGGGTTTAGGTAATTTCGAGATTGGTACTGTAATATGGAAAACCCAGTAGCTGCATCTTCTGATTACAGTATGGGGCATGTAGGATTATACTTGTGGCCTAAAGAAACGTGTTTGTGACTTCTTCAAGCCCCTCTATCACGAGCCGATTGAAAAGAAAAGAGCAAAAGAGAAACAAGAGTGACAATCACAAAAACCCTCTGCCTTTCTTTGAACAGAAGAAAACAGAGCCTAACCTAAGTCCTAAAGCATTAAGCCCCGAAAACCCTAAACCCTAAACCTTTGAAACCCCCACCCCTAAAACCCTAAAACCCTGAACCCTAAACCCGAATAGACTCTCTTTTTACTCAAAACATCTGCCCCGACCCAGCCTCCTCTGCGCTGGGCGTTTCGCTCAAAGCATCACCCCGTGGGCAAACCTTCGCAACGGCACGTGTTGGGGAATTTTGTCCCGAAAAGAGTTCAGGGCTTTGGGTTTAGGGTTTAGGGGTTAAGGTTTTAGGCTTTAGGGTTCAGGGTTTACATAGGTTTAGGGTTCAGGGTTTGGGAAGTCTTGGTGTGTAAACCAAGACCCCTCGAAAGGGTTTCGGGATCGTGGATTAGAGTTTAGAGGTTTCGCATGGAGGGTATTTGCACCGAGGCCTTAGGAATTAGGGATTTCGGCTTCTGAGGTTTGGGGATTCCTGCCTTCAGATTTATACAAGCGCTTTCTTAGGGGGGTACCGCTAGAAATTAGCTGAAGACTAGGGTGTTCATGGATTTGGGGGGCTTTTAGGGTAGGGGCCTTAATAATTGAAAAAGGGTATTGGGCTCCTTTATAGTATAGTCACGAGTAGGAACCCTTAAGAAGAACATTGGTAACTATTCCGATCCCGAAAGTAGCTCTCCCAAGTTTTCATTGCACCAAAGTCACCAAATCTAGGGTTTGGGCTTTTACGGCGCTGGACTGGAGCACAAAATCTTGATTAACCCCCCGAAATGGTCGGGTCTTTGCAGGGTTTCGATCTGTAAGGGTTCTGTAATACGGCGTGGCGGCAGAAGCCCCTGGAAAACGCGACCTCCAACCGTGAACCTCAAACCCGGAACCCTAAGCCCCAAACCCTGAAGTCCAAACAATCAAACCCTCAATCCTGAACACTACATATAAGCCCTAAACCAGACACCGCCAGGCCACCCCAAAGATCTCGCAGAAGTCAGCGAGACACACGCGACCAGGCTCCTGATGAAGCGCTCCATCGCAGTTTGTGGTTATCGAAAGGACCAGATATGAAACCCTGAACCTCCAAACCCTGAAGCCTCAAACCCCCAAGCCCTAAACCCCAAGCACCTCGAACCGCTGAGACCTCGCCAAGCTCCTTAAACCCAAGCCGGTGGCTCCTGCGCCTGCGAGGCATTGCTGGCATTGCCTCGCTTGGAGGGTCGGTGGACTTAGCAAGTAGGTGCTAAGTAGACGTATAGTAAGTAGGTACGAAGTAGAGTTGTAGTAGGTAGGTACGAAGCAGAGTTGTCGTAAGTAGGTACGAAGCAGAGTTATAAGTACCCTATTAAATGGTATAGTTAGAACTCTTTAAGATAAGTAACTACTTACTGATCCCTCCTACCCTCCAAGTGGTGACTCTGGTTTAGGGTTTAGGGTTCCTTTCCTGCCATGCCCAGAAGAAAAACGTCCGACGAGGGGCAGACAGCTTGGAAGGCTAATGAGTCAGGATTTAAGGTTGAGGGTTCATCCCGAACCTGTTACATACCCCTAAACTTTAAGCCCTCAACCATAACCCTGAACTTAAGGAAGACCATCTTCTGATCCGAGTTTCTGAATCCTCTTGAGATCCGGGGCTTGATGAGACTCTGAAACTCAAGCTCACTCACACACTCCAATACCTGCTAGATAAAGGATCTGTGCGGTTTAGGGGTAAAGATTCCCAATATGACTTCGGTTTAAAGGTTTAGGGTTTACCTTAACCCCAAGTAACCTTTTTGAAGACTTATATAGAGAAATCATATTAGGGAACCCTAAAAAGGTAGGTTCCTAAGGGTCCAGGTAAGGGTTAGGGTATAAGGTTTGAGCTTTAGGGTTTAGGGCGAAGCGGGAGATCAAGACTCTTTTCGCAAATCAAAACACTTACAGCTAGTAGCCAGAAAGTCCTTAAGCCCTTAAGGTAGGGTAGAGGGATACCTGCACTAATCATCCCTAACTCATGCTCCAACTTTCTGAATACTATTCCTACGGGCTCCTTATTATAGTTGTGGTATGGTCTGCCCCAAAAACCCTGTTCTAAGTGTTCAGGTCCCTACATGACCTACTCGGCCCCCCTGATCCACCCAGTGCAGAATAGAGGCGGACATCCTTGCTCGGATGGAAGGGACAGCTCCTTAGATCATAGGGGCCCTTACCCAGAGAGTTCAATATTTCTCAATTAAGGAATGTGGCTTAAAGTATATAGGGCTTCATATTTTGATTCAAGCTATATTCCTTAATTAAGGGATATTGGGCTCTCCGGGTAACGGATCTATAGCAGTGCTCTGGTTCCATTAAGGGTTCCTTTCAAAAGATCTCTAGGCTCCCGTAAGTTAGGATGTCCTTAAGGGGGGGTGGTCCAAGGGGGGTAGGTAACCTAGTAATCCCCATTATTCCC